GGGGGGGGGGGGGGGGGGGCATACAAGACTTAGCTTCTATATCAATGTTTAAAACTAACTTCTCCATGAAGAATCTGCACGGGATTATTACCCAACTGTTACACATTCAGCAACCGATGTGCAAATGCACTGGCTTAATCATCATCTGCTGATTTCGAACACCTTTCATGCTGTTTTTATTTAATGATCTCTTACTTTACCAAAATCCTGCCCTCATTTGACTCCACACAATCTAGGGGGAGCTTTCAGAAGTACCGTTTTGCCATTTTTTTATCCAGCTGAACTCACAAACTATGTCAGGTGCAGGGAGGAACGTCTCGACAAGCAACCATTCTGGAGGCAAGCATTGCACCCTTGACTGCGTTAACCCCACAGGCCTGTCATGTCCTGTTGTCAAGCTGGCTGAGCAGGCAGAGCCTATGCTAACGCGGGGGCTGGTAACAAAGTACCGTGCTCCTGGCTAAATTTGAGCAAGGTCACCTAAACCAGCCTCTACATCTATTGAACATGACCTCATGCATCACAGTTTCACAGACAGAAGATAAAATGCAGGGAACGTCGGCTCATGAAAGTGTGAATTAATAAACGTCTCTGCAAAGAATGTGGGTCACAGAATCTCCTCAACCTACTCGAGAAATCAGCAGAGAACAAAGCATAATGCTGTTTTAAAGGTTAAAATCTGGCTGGTTGACAGAGGAAAATTGTATGGTTTATGTGAATAGGGTAAAATAAATACAATGGTCGGCTTCAGCATTTCATGGCAGGACTGTGGGACTTTTAAAACAAAGGCCTTTCATATCACACGCGATTCGTTATTTCTGGCCATTGTATTAATTTCTAAAAATATTTGTTCCTTTGGGACAAATTGCTTTCCTTGCTGCACCATGATTTCGGCAGACAAAAAAAAGTGGGCCTGTTGTGGGCCAACCTTACAACAGCACTGAGGATTGGTTTCCACTGACAAAAACAGGTTTGGTTTCTCACAAAGCTGAGAGGAAGGGCTGCTTTCCTGCCAGAAACCTCACAGTAGAATGGAAACTGAAGCAGTGGTGAATAGCATCATGGCATTTTACGGAGTAAAAGAAGTTTTGTGAGGGAAAAACAAGTTCTGCTTGAATTAATTCTCAGAAAATGAGGCGATTATGGATGGCTTAATTACAGTACAAAAAAAAAAAGCACAACGTAAGGAAAGAAGTAAAAAAGCATTATACTATTTATATTTTAAATTGACATATCCACCTTATTTTTCAATGCGGAAGTAAGCTGTTTTCTGTGAATGTGCGAGACTTCCGGTTCATTAGCCGCTGTAGGGAAATAACAAGAGGAATAACAAAGTGCAGTAAAGGGCAAAACTGTTTGCACTACAAACCAGTGTGTTCATAATTATGATAATACATTAAAATAATATAGCAAGACACACCAGTTTGCAATATCAAGCAGCAAAACGAGCTGTTTTGTACAGCTAAAAATAGCTGGAAGTGAATGAGACCAGAAGCCAGACACATTAAATTTACAAATGGCTGCGCCCAAAAATAAGGTGAAAAATAAGGTGGATACTACAGCGGTACTGTAATATTTTGGACATGGAAGGATGATAATTTTGGGCTATTCTTTAAAGTACCTTAGAATAGAGTAAATACAATTATACATGAACAGTGTAGGTATGTAACTAAATTTGTCAGAAACATGGCAGTAGCTCTTTTGCTTAAAACATTTGTGTAGTGTAGCTTTCCCATTACCAAGCAACTTTTGCTTAAAATTAGCAGTGTGGCACAACAAAAATGCACACTGCTGTATGTTTATAAATTGCATTTAAACAAACTTTACAACCAAGTGAGGTAATAATCAAACACTCTCATAAACTGTCTTTTTTATCATACAGTATGTAGTGCAGTGAAGGCTCAGAGACTAGCTTCTAATTTTATTCGTTGTATGTAGTGAACACACCTCTGTTTAATGCTGGCACACTAACTGAAATCTTCTTGTGTCAGGTAAATACATTGAAATATTGCTCACATAAAAAGTTTCAGTGTGGTAGTTCCTTTTCGTTAGCTTCCTCTTCGTTAGCATCTAAGTACCTTTTTTAGGAATAGATTCCCTGTAGTTTAACTACTTTTAAACTTGGGTTTGCCAAACTACTTTAAAGTAGCTTTCTCAAACTTGTACATGGATGAATGATTAAATCAAATGATTAACAAAAAATATGTTAATTGTGATCTGATGCCATCACAGTTCCACCATAGTCCACAGTATAGTTGCTAAAACCACAAGGCTGTACTTGAAATAAAAATGAAAGTCTAGCCTTCTAAAACAAAAGAGCATCTTCTCTGGCTTGGTATACACTCAGCATAGATGCCATCAATTCTTAATGAACTAGTGCGCAACCACTCATTTCTTTATATCCCTGAAATATTACAGTGTTTCTTGTTTATGGAATAGCCAAAGGTATTAAACCACCCTTCAGGGTCTACCAGAAGCTCCTCTAGTGCTTGGAGAGTTCAGGTTATCCAGAGTACTCCCAGGGGGAAGGGATTTCCCATGCCAATGGTTCACAAGTTCAACACAGATTTAACTATTTATGAGCACTGAAAAACATGCAGGAACAGCTCTAACTAAATAATGATGGGCAGAATCACAGATAGAAGGAAGGAGAAGAGGTCCTGGAAGTGGACCGGAGGACTGGATAACAACTTTGAACTGATAATGTTATGGCATTACAAACTTGATGGAATTATCTGGATGAAAGAAAGCGAGGCACTGCAGAAGAAGCAACAGAGAGTGAGAAACAAACAGAGACAAAGGAGGAGGCCAACGAATGACAGGGACCACACACAACTAGTCAGATTTTATAGATTGGGTTGATCTCCCCTTTGTTTAGCAAATGCCCGAGGTTGTCAGGACCTTGTGATAGATTAGAGGTCAGCAAGACACCGAATGTCTTCACAGGGCTTGTGTTCCTTTGTTGTTCTGGGCATTTAGCAGCTGCGGTCAATGAGAAGTGAAACTGAAATTGATTGTTCAATTGTAAATCAGTATTGAAAATTGTTCAGATAGTGGCCCTTATTATCATTGCTATCTCAAGATGGTAAGTAGCATGGTATGTCAGGAGAAAATACACCGATATGAAGGCCTAAACAGTACAGTGACTGTGAGATACATTATAACTGTGCTGATAAGAAACCAGCCTATTCTGCAAGGCAGCTTTTGCGATTAAGAAATAAAATCGTAATGACCATTAAGTTTTTAAATAATTCAAAATTCTTTAAAATATTAATTAAGGCAAGATAAATCCACCAGCTTTGGCCTATAAAGCTGCAATTAAACACTTCCCAATTGAGGTCCTTCAATATTACAGGGGCAGGACTTCAAACTCTAGAATTGTGGCTTACAAACTACACAGGCAGGAATGGAAACAGAGAGGCAGGGAAAGTAGCACACCCTATAATTTACAGCTACATTTTTTAGCCTATTTGCAGCCCACCAAACTGGCAGGTTCTATTCCACTGGCGGAATTATCAAGGGCAATTCAAGAGCATACGTTATGATCTGGCTTTTATAACACAGGCGATATATAACAGGCCCAGGGAGTCTGTCAGAGAGACATGGGTTAGTAGACAACATGAAAAAGCCTACCTGAAGCACTAAGGGCTCTGGATTGAAAGCCAAGGTCATCAACAGCTGCATCCTTTCTGTGTCCTTAAGGTTCTTAAGGAGGAAGCTTCCAGAGTCCTTTGTCTCAGCATACCTCCTGACTATTCTGTCCAGCAGTCTTTGGGACGGACAATGAACAAGGTCTGACCAGCCTTCCACAACGTCTGGGGTTAGGAGTCTGACGTCCCCATTAAGTCGGGCAAACTCAGTCTTGTACATGGCCTGGATAAGATCGCAACGAGGTCGGCCTGTTGCCCGCTTGCAAATCTTCTGGTCAATATCAGTAAGCTCTTGGTTGGAACCCAAACGCTTGAGTACAATCCTCCGTGTACCCTCACGAGGCTCCCCGTACTGGGCAAAGAAAACGTTTTTCACATTGAAGACATCCAGGAAGCGAAGGCGACCCCATGTCTCGAAAGATATCTGTCCATTCATGAACTTGCGACACCAGCTGGTGCCAAAGCAGGCTGGGCACTTGTTGAGGTTGATGAACCTTCGGTCGGTGAGTTCATTCTTTTGGAAAGAGGCGAAGAGGTTGTGCGTGTTCATCAGCAAGATGACAAACAGGCCAATTACAAAAAGAAGCTTCAGACACCGGTACAAACGGCCAAGCTTGAGTGGGAGGAAGCGCAGCATGTTCGTGCACTAGCCAGGCAGGGCAGGGGTAAAGGGGAAAGGGGGAAAGGGCAATGAATAGTGTCAGGGACAGGACTCAATGGATCTCCATCACTAGTGTTGACTCATCAACTGGAGTTCCCAAAGGGGGAAAAACTAGCAGAGTCCCCCCTTGCAAGTGCTTGCTGGGCTAAGACATTCTCATAGGCATCGCTGTGGAGTGCACAGTGCCGATGCACATAAAAGCTGGCCTGCAAAGAAGCACACAAAAAGAACAAACATATTATATTAAGTTGTATTTTACTAGGGCTACAGCATGGAACAAAGAACATGGCAATTTCCTATTATGGACACCTTCACACTATTTGAACAGTTACTTTCCATTTCTCCCAACCTGAAATTTCTCCTTTCCCAGAGTATAAACCTCTAAGAAAAAACAAGATTGTGTGTTGCTTTGAAATGTTTAACAAATTGGAAATGTTCAGGTCATTTGAGCGAATGCATTGCTTTCCGAACTGTCACGAGATTGATTTCTGCCAGACCAATAAACGGCGAGATACTCTGTACCAGACTGTGCTGGCTCATATTTCCTTCAGACTAGCTCCTAACAACTACGTATTTAAAAAAAAAAAAGTGAGTGTTTTAAAAAGTAAACAAACATTAAGAAATATATGTCACATCTAAAACAAGGTATGTTACGGAAACAGTTTACCATACTGCTCGTCAACAATAAAAGCAAATGATCTGTGATTGTTTCCATCAACTGCAAATCAATTGAGACTCTTTCTACTTTCAAATGGATGTGCTACACTGTGTTTTACCAGATGAGTCGTGCTGAGCATAGTTTAACCTTTGATCAGAGTTGCCCTGGTAAGTTTTAATGTCTCTTTGAAAATTCCTCTGAAAAAATCTGGTGTCACTAAGGTAATGTGGGGAGGTGAAACAGCACTGTACAGAGCACCATGTGAATGTATCTGATGCAGGGGTGTCACTGATTAGGGCTGTCAAAATGGCTGAAAAATAAATAAATTTATTTTTTCCTTAAATATTATCAATATTCGAATTATATTCGAATTTAAAAGGCATAATTTCAGTTAGGGGGAAAAAAAGCTTTTGGCTTCTCTCCTGAGGCCACAAGAGGGCACATCGAGCAAAATATTATGCAAATTTTTTTTCAAAGCATAATAAAATAACACGACTATCTTTGAAAAAAAGTGCATTGTGTTTAAAATAATGTTCATAAACCTTATATAATTAATAAAGTTGCTTAAACAATTAGAAACAAAAAAGCATAATGCATGTATGTATAGTTTAATACAAATGACCGAAAACCAATCACAAAGAGTACTTTCTTCATTTAAAAACTTGAGATGCAGTGGGATGAGGAAAACCGCCATAAAGTCTTGACATGTTTTTTTAAAAGTTGAACTTACATTAATTTTACATGGCTTTCTAAACATG